TCCCTCCTCTCCCCTCCCCTCCATCCCTCCCCTCCATGCCTTCCTCCCTCCTTCCCTTCCTCCCTCCATCTCTCCTCTCCATTCCTTCATCCCTCCCTCCCTCCTTCCCTCCATCTCTCCCTCCTTCCCTCCCCTCCATCCCTTCCTCCCTCCTTCCCTCCATCCCTCTCTCCTTCCTTCCATCCCTCCCTCCCTCCCTCCCTCCTTCCATCCCTCCCTCCCTCCCTCCCTCCTTCCTTCCATCCCTCCCTCTCTCCCTCCCTCCCAGCTCCCTCCCTCCATCCAACCATCCTTCCCTCCATCTCTCCCTCCCCTCCATCCCTTCTTCCCTTCCTCCCTCCCTCCATCCCTCCCTTCTTCCTTCCATCCAAACATCTGGTTAACTGGGTCAAGTGTGTTAGGCTTATCAGCGAGCCGGTCCCTTCCCCAGCACCAACACCCCGTCCCTCTCATACTTCCCATACACCCACTCTCTCTGCTTCACCTCAACAACCATAGCTCCATCCCTCCCTCCCTCCCTCCCTCCATCAATCCATCTCTCCATCCATCTCTATCCTACCATCCATCTCTATTCTCTCCATCCCTGCCTACCACCCAGCCTCTGCCTGCCTGCCTGCCTCCCTCCCTGCCTACCACCCAGCCTCTGCCTGCCTGCCTGCCTCCCTCCCTGCCTACCACCCAGCCTCTGCCTGCCTGCCTCCCTCCCAAGCTCTGCCTGCCTCCCTGCCTGCCTCCCTCCCAAGCTCTGCCTGCCTGCCTCTCTCCCTGCCTACCACCCAGCCTCTGCCTGCCTGCCTGCCTCCCTCCCAAGCTCTGCCTGCCTGCCTGCCTCCCTCCCTCCTTGCCTCTCCCTCCCTGCCTACCACCCAGCCTCTACCTGCCTCCCTTCCTCCTTGCCTCTCCCTCCCTGCCTACCTCCTAGCCTCTCCCTGCCTGTCTGCCTACATTTCAGCCTCTCCATCCCTGCCTGCCTGCCCATCCACCCACCAGTCAGCCATCACTGACACAAACGAGTGCATTTGGAGCCGACATGGTGCACGGATGTTCCTTGATTGTGCCGATATGTCCAACAAAGTCACAGAATGAATACTCCAACCTCTTGACAAATCAAAACAATGTGCCGTGAATCTGTGACGTCACAGGGTAGAAGGCACAAGAGTGGTGGACCAAGTGGCTGTCTGTATAAAATATATCTTACCTGAATGTTACTTGAAAAATTACCGACACTTAACTTTGGAAATACCAGAGCTCCGGAAATAACGACCAGGGTACAGCCCCATATAGGCCGTTAAATCGAGTGGATACTGCCTTTAGTCGTGTAGAGAATTCTATTGTGAACACAATGATACCAAATTGAAAAACCTTGGACGAGAATTGAGGTAACAAAGTTGAAAAGAGTATACACATTTCAGAATTACCGCACGCTCCTGTGAAACGCTGAGGCCCACCCGGGGTAGTGCGGGTCTCGCGAGCGAGGTGCAATAAAGTGTTAAGTAGACTGCGCCAGCCAGAGTGCTATAAACATCAGCCGATAAACACTCCCTTACCTAAGGCAAAGCAGAAAGCCCTAAACCCCCTCTTGACCCTAAGGGCGAGAGCAACCACAATCAAGGAAGTCTCCTAATGGGGCATGTTACCCGAACGCCTGAAGGGAACGTTTGGGTAACGCATGTTATCTTGAGGTTATCTTGAGAGAATTTCGGGGCTTTAGTGTCCCTGCGGCCCGGTCCTCGACCAGGCCTCCACCCCCAGGAAGCAGCCCGTGACAGCTGACTAACACCCAGGTACCTATTTTACTGCTAGGTAACAGGGGCATAGGGTGAAAGAAACTCTGCCCATTGTTTCTCGCCAGCGCCCGGAATCGAACCCGGGACCACAGGATCACAAGTCCAGTGTGCTGTCCACTCGGCCGACCGGCTCCCCGAATGACCAGATCCCCGAACGAATGTTACCCGAACGCCGGAAGGGAATGTTCCGTCAATACTGGATCTAATATTCACCAGGAAAGAAGAAGAGATATTTGGCATCCAGTGCCTTCCTCCCTTGGGGAAGAATGATCATGTCCTATTAGAGATTAAATATGCTTTGAGATATAATCTAGAAGAAAATAGGACAGTGAAACAATTGTTAAACCCGATTTCAAGAGAGAGGACACTATGGGGAACTTGTAATTTTTTTAATGCATATAATTGGACAGACTTGTTGCTAGGCAGGGAAGTAAATGAGATGTATGCCAAATTTTGCAAAATATACGACGAAGGCACACAAACATTCATACCAAAACAAAGATGCAGGACCAGAAAACAGGATTGGTTCAACAGAAACTGCAAGAGGGTCAGAGACCTAAAGACACAAAAATGGAATCAATATAGGAAGAGGCCAAACCCCCAAACATTCCAGCGATATAAAGATGCGAGAAACAATTACATGGCAGTGAGGAGAGAGGCAGAAAGAAATTTTAAAAAAGGGATAGTGGACAAATGTAAAACAGAACCAGGCCTATTTTATAAATTTATAAACAACAAATTGCAGGTAAAGGATAATATTCAGAGGTTGAAAATGGGAAACAGCTTTACAGAAAATGAAAAGATGTGTGAAACATGAAACAAAAAGTGTGTTTGAACAAAATGAAATCTTCAGGGAACTAAACACAATAAGAATTCCAGACAACAACTTAGAGTACATAGAGGTGTCTAGAGACACAGTGGAAAAAATACTCAAGGAGCTAAGTAAGAACAAAGCAGTTGGCCCAGATGGAGTTTCACCATGGGTTCTGAAAGAATGTGCACCTGAACTCAGCATTCCACTTCAACTGATTTTTCAGGCATCCCTGTGTACAGGGGTCCTAGCAGATGTGTGGAAAAGAGTAACATAGTTCCAATTTACAAAATTGGCGACAGGGTAGACCCCTCAATTATAAACCTGTATCATTGAAAAGTGTAACAGTTAAAATTTTGGAAAAAATAATTAAAACTAAATGGGTTGAACACCTGGAGAGAAAAGATATAATATCATATCATCAGTATGGTTTTCGATCTGGAAGATCCTGTGTAATAAATTTACTCGGTTTCTATGATCGAACCACAGGGATTTTACAGGAGAGAGATGGTTGGGTTGACTGCATCTATCTGGACCTAAAAACAGCTTTCGACAGAGTTCCACATAAGAGGTTGTTCTGGAAACTGGAACATATAGGAGGGGTGACAGGTAAGCTTCTAACATGGATGAAAAATTTTCTGATAGAAAAATGAGAGCAGTAATCAGAGGCAATGTATCGGATTGGAGGAATGTCACAAGTGGAGTACCACAGGGTTCAGTTCTTGCACCTGTAATGTTCATTGTCTACATAAACAATCTACCAGATGGAATACAGAATTATAAGAACATGTTTGATGATGCTAAGATAATAGGGAGAATAAGTAACTTAAATGATTGTCATGCCCTTCAAGAAGACCTGAACAAAATAAGTTTATGAAGCACCACTTGGCATATGGAATTTAATGTAAATAAATATCATATTATGGAATGTGGAACAGAAGAACATAGACCCCACACAACCTATAAATTATGTGAGAAATAGTTAAAGAATTGTGATAAAGAAAGAGATCTAGGGGTGGTTCTAGATAGAAAACTATCACTTGATGATAGAACATTGTGAACACTGTCATATAAAGAACATTGTGCGAGGGGCCTATGCTACACTTTCTAACTTCAGAATTGCTTTTAAATACACGGATGGTGAAATACTAAAGAAATTTCATGACTTTTGCTAGACCAAAGCTAGAATATGCAGCGATTGTATAGTGTCTATATCTTAAGAAGCACATCATCAAACGGGAAATGGTGCAAAGATGTGCAACTAAGCTGCTCCCAAAACTGAAGGACAAGAGCTATAAGGAGAGGTTAGAGGTATTAAATATGCCTCTAACAAAAAAATCAGAGGCATTTTGTTAGACATTAAAGATGCCTCTAACAAATGACAAAAATCCCAGAACAGGAAATTGAGGCCTGAGGTGACGTCCGACCGCCAGCACCATCAGTCAAGAACTGGATGGTGGGTAGCTGGGCTCACCCGAGCCTGCTCCCCCTCAACTCGGGAGGGGGGGAGGGGGGGCTAGTTTGACGAAGTAGTGCTTGTTTGTTTTCTTTACAGGGAAGTTCTTTTGCTCTTTTGAGGACATAGGTCACATTTTTCAACCGGACAGTAGTCTGTTTTGTTTTGCCTACGTTTGTAGGTGCCTTCCCTGGTAGATGGCAAGCATGATATACTATAGACATGATAGATATATTATAGACGTGGTGGCAGACATGATTAAAATTCATAGGCATTTTTATCATAGTGCAACTGCTCTCTGCACCTCTTTAGAGGGGACCAGGTTCTGGCTCATGGTCCTCGGTAGGCCGAAAAGAACTCCGCGAGTGATGGCACCTAGTAGTTTGACAGTATCTTGAGGTTATGTTGAGATGATTTCGGGGCTTAGCGTACCCGCGTCCTGGTCCTCGACCAGGCCTCCTTTTTGTTACACATCCCCAGGAAGCAGCCCGTAGCAGCTGTCTAACTCCCAGGTATCTATTTACTGCTGGTAACAGGGGCATCAGGGTGAAAGAAACTTTGCCCATTTGTTTCCGCTTCCAATGGGGATGGAACCCGGAACCTCAGCACAACAAATCCGAAGCTCTGTCCACTCATTTGTCAGGCCCCTGTCAGTATATCAGCATTGTAGCTACAGGCAGCCACAAAAGCTTCCCCCAGAAAACCTTCATAGTGTAGAGCAGGCATGTCAAACTGCGGGTCCTCCCGATTGCCATATGGGGTCACATTTATGCTATCATGAGGACCACACACACAAAAACTAATTGAAGTCATTTAGTAAAAATTATTGCAGAATATGTTTCTATAATATTATATTATATACCAAATTACAGTATCCTTTATGCGGGTCGCAGGTGTGCTTGCAAAAGGCTGCATGTTTGACATGCCTGGTGTAGAGGATACATACCCTAGCAAGGTAGATGGTGCGAGGTGTGACATGAGTGTTCATCAGGTAGTACACAATGCGGGCTTGAATGTGGCCTTCATGTTTATGAACAACAACTTTCTCTCCTGTAAAAGAAAGGATTTTGGGAGAACTTCCAATTTTATGCTTATAAAACTGACAAATTTGCAGCTGTCAAACAAAAAAAAAATGAACTGGAAACATCCCCTTAGCTTCATATTTGAATGGTTTGGGAGAACTGAAAGATTATATTGATGATTACAGCCAATTAATACAACAATAACAAATGGAATAAACAAAAATCCAGTGTCTGATATAATTAAATACCTTTTCTGTGGGGAATTACTAATCAATTAATAATATTTTTTTTGTACAAAAATTCAAGCAGAAGGATGTGCCTGACAGGAGGGTGTGTAATTCACCCCAGCAAATAAGGTAAGACTAAGTCAGAAAGGTAAGGAGGGGACAAAAACTCCTCCCCTGCATCAACAACCCCTGCTTAGAAGGCACAAGGGCCCAAGCATGGGCAAAAGGAGCCCAAGCACTTCAAGTGAACACCCCCCCCCCCTGAGCCCAGGGGAACCCCCCCGACAAAGGCCCCGGGGGCATAGCCCTCATCCACACCCCCTACCCTTGAAGAAAAAGTGGAGTCCAGGAAAAAGCTTCCAAGAAGGGAGTCTGCTGAGTCAACTCAGAAGCCCTGGTGGGAAAATCGGTCCAATCACCTCCGTGTTCAAATTGGAATGGGCAACACCCGATGCCATCCGAGCCTCATCCCAAATGAAAACCCCCTCCCGACCCCCAAACCCACAGCTGTTTGAGAGCCGGAAACAGGAAGGTAGGAGCAGGGCGAACTACACCCACCAGGAAAAGAAAACAGAGTCTGGACGGCACCAAGGTCGAAGTGACCAATGGCCCCAAATCCTGGTGCTCAAACCCAAGCAAGGCAACTCCGGGGCATTCAACCGAGCAACCAACCTGGCCCATTGCAATAAGGAGAATCAAGCATGCAACGTACCCACCACCCCTGAGATCATCCGACAAGGAATGGGTAAAGTGAAGCACAAGCGGGGAACAAGTCCCTTTAGACTCCAGGTCGAATGTGTCACTGATCCAACAGGCAGCATGATGGAGGGAGAACGGATGATCATCTCTCTGAGGCAGGAGCGACGAACAACCTTCAACCGAGAGAGAACTCAGAAGACACATCCGAGCCCACTGACGTTTTCCAGGGCCCATAGGGCGAGTAAGCCCTACGGGAAGCCCAGGCACTAGGGCTAGGTAAGCCGGTAGAACCCCGTCTGTCCGCAGGCAAACTGACCATCAGTAGCAGCCGTGAAACCTCAGAGGCAACAACGGAGGACCACCAACACAACCTAGGCTAGCCTAATAAGAAGCTAGGCAGACTTCTGTGAACAAAAAGCAAATACACTATAAAAGAAAAACAAAACCTCCAAAGTATACATGGCACCTTTCCCTGACTGCGAGGCCGTCAGGGTTGATGCCATCAAGCAGGACTGGACGAGGTGGGGTTACTTGTACCTCTTCCCCCAAGTCCAGCTGTTGCTCCAAGTCCTGGCTCACTTGGAGACTTACCAGGGGAAAAGTAGTCCTGGCCTCTTGGTGGCCGGCCCAGCCTTGGTTTCAGGTGCTGCTTGCTCAGTGTCTGAACCCGAGGGTCTTCCCGCGGTTCCGTCTCTTTCAGGAGATCGGTCCTTCCTGTTACAAGGCTGGTTCACTCTTCTCCTTTAGTCTTCATTTCTGGTGTTTCTGACTCGAGTCTATCACCATTTGTATGGGGCGCAGGTGGCTTCATTATTGGTCTACCATCTGCGTGCTTCGTCTCGGCAGCAGTATGAGGTTTCCTGACGTTCCTTCCGGTTTTCCTACCACTTCGTAGGTGTACTTCGGTCTCTGATAGGGTTGTTTTGTCCCTTACTGTCGTGATTGTTTCAGGACCATCATCTTATGCCGAATACTGTCACCTCCTATTATGCAGAGTCGCTCCAGCTTGCGTTCGGTATTGATGTTGTGTGTGCTCCATTCCGCAAGTTGTCTCGTGCGTTGTTTCACCTCCGGTCTGCTCATGCGTTGCCTAAGCCTTCCTGGTCCTTGGAGCAGGTGCTCTCTTTCCTCTCTTCCCCTCGGTTTGTGGTGGTCCCTTCGGTTCAGGACTGTTTGTTTTTCAGTCAAGAAGCAAAAAGCTGCGAAACCCCATCCCGCAGGAGCGGCACAAACAGCTTCAACAATACAGACGACGCACGCACCGCCGAGGGCAATGCACCAGACCTAGAGGCAGCCCCAAGCTCCTCCACATCCAACTCAAGCCAATCCGAGGACAGCTCGAGGAGGGAGAAGAAATGCAGGGCCGAAGCCAGCAGTCCACGTGTACACAAATCCTCTGCGACCAATGCAGCTGAAAAGGAAGGAACCTGTACATGAAGCTGCATCACACCAACATCCCACAGAAGGGCAGGGGCAAACAAACATGCATTGAGATGCTGAAATTCGCCCCCCCTCCCCCCAGGAAAACCTGCAATGTCGTCTGAGTGGAATGTCTGCACTCAATCGCGCAGAACCAATAGAACGTATGCCAAGCCTCCAACGAGAAGAGCGGGCAGTCTGCTAACCAGCACGATTCCGGAACTTCACAACGAATCCCATATGAACATGAAGATCATGGACATGAAGATTTTCCATCACGAAATCATAATCCGGGTCGCTCCGGAGGTAAGCCACAAGGGCTTCCCGCACCACATGTGATGGTATGCAGAAAGCCGAAAACCTCCGGAAGGATGGGACCGAGGAACCCATGGGATCACGAAACTGAACCCAAAGAGGGTAGACACCAAATCCAATTTGTACACAGAGGGAGCGAAAGAGAACTTGTTACTCTCCTTGTAACACCAAGCCCCGCTCCGAGGGTACAAAAACCCAGGCGTGGTCTAACGGGGCCCAACGCCCCAAGTCAACCCCTCGTCCGCCCCCTTCAGTAGCTTGGGTGAACTGAAGTACGTACAAAGAACAAACGTCACACGACTCCGGGTCAAAAGAATCACCGACCCAACAGGCAGTATGGCGGAGGCACAACAGGTGATTGTTACCCTGAGACAAAGAGACAAAGTGACCATCAACCTCGCACAAAACAAGAGGGGACTCAAGGGCCTCATCCATCAGATCACAGAGCCCCTGCGGGGTTTCCTAGGGTCCTTAGCCTTGGTATCATGTTAAGGGAAGCCCGGGCAGGGTTCTGCGAACTGGCGCCCAAGCTACCGTGCAAACTTCTAAAACTGAACCCCCGGGATGTGTCCACTCATGGGGGGCCTAGCAGGGGGGGGGGGGGGGGTACCACCAAGAAGACAGATATGGATAAATAAACCCTAATGTTAGGTAGGGGGCAACCAACCAAAGGCCACCTTCTCATCAGGCAGGAAAACAAAAACAAAAGAAACCCCCCGCAAGAGGACAACATACCCAGGTGGAACAGAGCCGGCCGCTATAATAGATGAAAACTAGACGTGCAGTACCCCGTGCCCCTACCAGTGACAAAAACTACCCCCTATCCAGAGACAAACAAGGGCAACAAAAACCCCAGCTGACTCCAAGGGCAGCCGATAACCTAGCAGTAAAAGACAGAGCGGATGTCGATCCCAAGGTGATTTGTGGAAGGTGGCCCCAAGCTCTAAGGGCAGTACTTACTGGGTACCTAGGGAAGGAAACCCTAGGTGCATGCAGCCCGAGTACTGTAGAATATTATTCCTGGCACACATACCACCTGTAGACAGACCACACCACAAGGCACAGAAACTGAAACCAAGCAGGAGCCAGAGGCACATGACCTGCCAGTATCACATCAACCAAGAACTGACGGTTGGATTGCCGCTGCAAGGGTCTCCCCCTTTCCCCCTCCCAGGGAGAGGGGAAGGGGAAGATACTAACCACAGACAGCGGTGCAGCAACGTGATGATGTCATGCTCGTTTGCTAATTTCCGTTTGGGGAGTTCTGTCACTCTGTTGTTCTGTTCTGTTTTGTGGCGCCTACCTTCCTGGATGCCAGATCTGGTCGATGGCAGACATAGAATGCTCCCAATCACACGGGGGTTTCTATAGGCCATTGCTCCTTGTGCCTTTCTAAGGGGGCCAGATTCTGACCCCCCTCAAGACACAAGCTGCAAAATATGTTGCAGAAAAGGATAAAATCTTCAACAATTTCATGAACCCCACAAAAATCACAATTAGGATCTATACACAGACCCATTCTGCACATGTGGGCACCCAACCACCATTGAGCCATAGCAACCTCCAAAGGAAATTTTTGATGCATGCATACCCATTGCCCCCAATGCCACTCAAATTTGTGGTTGCCCAAGAATTTCAAACGACAATCCTCTTTGCACTTTTCCCTATGTTTGCCGAGGCATCTACTCTTGAAGAAGGAGTTCAAATTGCAGGATGCCAGGTTCAGTGAACTAATGGAGGCAGATCTGGAAGCCTCTTTAGCACACCTGTCAGCATTATCATTCCCAGTGACCCCGCAATGTGAGGGAGACCACTAGAACGCAACCGTGTATTCCTTGCAGAAGAAAACCATATAGACAGTCCAACCGCTGGTAAGCCAGATAAGCATATTGTGGATGCTGAGGTGTCCACACAGCTGCCAACTCCCGCACTGTGCTGTGGGCCCAACAGAAGGATGGACTCCACCGCCCCTGGCCTGCCTGGCGAGCACTGGTCACAAAGCCCCAGCCAAGACATGACGTGTCCACGAACACATCGAGCAAGTGCTCGAGTAGGCACCAAGGCACTGAACCCTGAAAAATCCGAAGAGGAAGCCGGTGACGCAGCAACCGACGAAAGGCCCACCAGAGGCTGAACCCAGTAATCGTGCGAGAGGCAGAAAGGATGTCCCTGAAGGAACCAGAACAGCCAACGAAGCCAAACCCAACCCTGGCGGGAAGACCATCATGCTAAGTTCAGGATCCTGCACAAACCCTCGAGCAACTACTGCATGACCCGGGAGCCCCCAGAAACAGGTGAAGGTGGGACCGCAGCCAAAGCAGAGCCTCCGGATTCAGAGACAAGGAAGCGGTCCAAGAGTCCCACACAAGACACTGCCAAGACCGAACTTGAGAGGGAACCAGATGAGACTTCTTACAGTTCACCAGGAACCAGAACCTGGCGAGCTGGGAAAGAACCAAATCCCTAGTGAGCAGACACGCGGACCAGCTGGGAGCTCACACCAAAACCAATGGGCAGACCCCACAACAGGCAGGAAAATAAAAACAATAGAACAACCCCGCAAGAGGACAACGTGCCCAGGCGGAACAGAGTCGGCCGCTACGAGGTAAAAACTAGTTGCACAATACCCTGCGCCCCCACCAGTGACGAAACTACCCCTGCCCAGATACAAACAGTGGTGCATGAAACATCCCAGCTGACTCCAAGGGCAGTCAATCACCGAGCAGTAAAAGATCTTGCGGAGGTGGACCCAAAAGTGACTTGTGGAAGGTGGCCCCAAGCCCCAAGGGCAGTACTTACAGGGCAGCTAGGGAAGGGGGACCTTAGGCACATGCAACCTGAGTACTTGTGAATTAACTCCTGGCTCGTGCACCATCACTGAGATAGTGCCACACCACAAGGCACAGAACTGGAAACACAGGAGCCAGAGGTGCACAACCTTGCCAGTTCACATCAACCACAGAACTGAATTCTGGATAGCCGGAATCTGGGGCTACAGCAGACTCCGGGGAGGGAGGTTGCGCAGACAGAGAGGTAGTGACGTGGTGACAGCATGCTCGTTTGCTCATTTTCACTTGGGGAGTTCTGTCCACTAGTTCAGCTTCAGTAGCAATATTTTAACCAGAATAGAGGTTTGTTTTGGGGCACTTACCTTTCTGGGTGCCTGACCCGGTCAATGGCAGACATAGAATGCTTCCAACCACACGGGGGTTTCAATAGGCCATTGCTCCTTGTGCTGTCTGAGGAGGGGCAAGGTTCTGGCTCGTGGTCCCCGGTAAGCCTAGAACTCCATGTGCATTGACTGATGCCAGGGGTCTAATACATTCCAATCAGCCCAGTTAGCTCCAGGGAGCCAAAGGGGCTTCCCCCCAAAAAGAGCTCATAGATATATCATATTATTTTCAGGCAGCCACTAAGAGGTTCCTCCAAGAATTTTTTACATTGTGTAATATATGAATTTAATTTATACAAACCTGTATTGTAAACCTTCATAAAAGATAAATGATCTTCTTGTGCTTCATCTAAAGGTTGGTACATATCCATGTAATGTTCAATTCTCTGAAGGAAGTCTGCCAGGGCCTCCTCAGCAGTCATCCCACTGTAGTCTGGACTGCTGACTTTAACTTCCTGTTGGTCATTTCATCATCTTACTCACATAGTTCAACTTTTATTAAATTTCATTATTTAAAGTTCACAGTGCCTCAACATGAATATAAATGAATATAAACATGAATATAAAATGGTGTAAATGATTTCTTACACCTAGGATAATGTAAATAAAGTATCAAAACAAACACAGGAAAATAATATTCACTGCTGTTATAGATTCCTTGCACTGACATGACACATGGGGGTCAAATGACACTATTTTCTAATTATGTCTATGGTATCAGATACGCATGCCGAACTTTATTGGTGGTTCTAGTATTAAGAATGACCAAGATAATACTGTATAAAGAGTTTGATCATTGTTGTGATGTGATAATTCTTCTTCATAGCTAGAACCCCCTTTGGTAAATATCATTACATACATTTACAACTTACAATGTAAATGCATTATAAACAATGGACCATTTGAACCCACCCATGGTTGCATGACATCATGTGCAAAGGCTCAATAGAAACTACAGTATTACTAATACCATCAACAGCATTCTGACAAGCAGGCAACCAGTTAGTGAATGGCAATTACTAAAGAACTTCTTGGAGAGTTTGAGTATTTAAAAAAAACCAGCGTTGAATGTAATGAAACGCCATTTTCTGGGCGAGCCCCTACAGCTCCCTGGAGCTTATCGGGCTAATGTATGTTATATTAGACCGGGACATTAGCTTAGGAGTTCAGACCAACCAGGGACCAGCGCCAGAACCTGGCCCCTTCAGAGAGGTTTCAGGGAGCTTAACCCTTAAACTGCGCATGGCGAATATATACGCCATGAGTAACATGTCCCACTGTGCGCATGGCGTATATGTACGCCAAAGTGTGCCAGGCACGATTCAAATGTCCCGCGGTGTAAAGGGGTCACCCGTATCGTAGCCAGGGGCGATTGTAAACAGACGCCATCTTGAAAAAATATATAGAGCAGGCCTCCTTTGTTTCCCAGGCCTTAGTTAGTGGCCAGACACCATGGCGAGCGCATCACAATCCAGCGTGCGACCTCGCTCAGCGCACCACACCACACAGTCTTTGACCGAAGACGAAATTGCCAATCAATTGTTCAAGGACGTTGACGAATCTGATATTGACGACTCGGATATAGATGAGGACTATGCACAGCCTGAAGAAATAGAAACAACGGATAGTGAGGGTGAACATGTTGGTGCCACGAGGGTGAGGATGCCACAAGAGTTACCCGCTATTACTCAACAGCACCTCGCGCCCAAGCACGTTGTTCATGTGTTCCATTGCATGTTTATGATATGATCGACGCGTCTGAAACAGGTGAATCTTTCTCAGGTTTTAGTGATGTAGAATCGGAGAATAGTTTTACCCAGGCTGCTAGTGCCAGTACAAGTTTCGCCGCATCAGCTGCCTGCCCAGCCAAGCGCCACTGCATGGAACAATATGGCGACAATGAGGAACAAATTCCCTCCCCCATGTTCCAAATCTTTTCCCTCATCTACCCTTCCTGCCCCTACTGTTGCAATGCCTGCTTCAGCTCCTGGTCCCCGGATTCCTCGCCGTGATGCAGCTAATGGCTCTCGGAAGGCAGCAGGTTTGTTTGTGTGGAGTGACGGGGAAGATTTTGTTCCACAAATTTCCGACTTTGACAACAGATGTTGTTTAACAGTTGTTTGATGTTGGATGATGTTGGAATTACAGATCTTTTTCCCTGATACTTGCGACAAAATGAGTGAAATGGACTTCTTTACTGCATTGTTCACGAAACGAACAGACTTGCGGCCGATCTCATTGAAGGTGAGGATGTATCAGAATTTTCACGACTACAGCGTTGGAAAGAGACAACTGTAGGTGAACTGTGTGTGTTTTTCGCAATTTGCATGTTGATGAAACATTGTGTGAAACACGTAATATCAGATTATTGGAGCAAAGACAACGCTGTTCCAACACCATTGTTTGGGAAATATATGTCCAGAGACAGATTTCTGTTGATCCTACAGTGCCTTCATTTTACAAATAATGCAGACGAGAGACAGGATGATAGGCTTTGGAGGGTGAGGCACGTGCTAAATGACCTGATTGGAAAGTTCCGAGATTACTACGTACCAGCTCAGAAGCTGGTTATTGATGAATCCCTGGTGCTTTTCAAAGGACGTGCTGCCTTCAAGCAGTATATTCCCTCAAAACGTCACCCATTTGGACTGAAATTCTTTGTGCTCTGTGACTGTGAATCAGGAATGGTGTTACACATGATACTGTATTCCGCCACAAATGTAGATATTCCTGCTAATGACGAACATGGCTTCTCAGGTAGTGTGGTGAAGGCACTGCTTGCACCATATCTGAACAAGGGCCAAATATTGTACACAGATAACTATTATACCAGTCCCTTACTAACGAAATTCTTGCTTGATAATAAGACTGGAGTGTGTGGCACAGTAAAGCCAAAACGAAGGGAAATGCCTGTGTTTGACACTGCTATGCAAGTAGATGATTGTGAGGTAAGAAAAAGTGGTGCAATGCTTTCAGTGCGGTGGAAAGACAGACGTGAAGTGAATATGCTGACCACCATTCACCCTGGTACAATGGTGGTCAGTGGCAAGGTGAACAGAACAACAAAGCAAATAATATATAAGCCAGATTGTGTGATGGACTACAACATCAATATGCGTTTAGTTGATAAATGTGACATGATGGTGGGTGCTGTAGAGTGTGTACGGAAAACAGTGAAGTGGACCAAGTGGATGATTTTACACCTTCTTGACGTAACAATGCTGAACAGTTACAAAATTTATCTTGTGAAAACAGGTAGAAAACCATATTTCCATTCATTTAGTTTTCAAGTTGTGAAACAGTTACTAGGTAAATTTGGCAATGACACCCCTGGCATACAAAGACCCATTCGAGACCCAATATTGAACCATGCTCCGGCATCCAGACTAGCTTACAGGAAGGCCTTCCTGATACACCAAATCAAGAAATTACCACCAACTGGATCTCGTGCAGCAGGCCAGTGTCGGTGTGTTGTGTGTTCCAGTACCAAATTGAGGCCACAGAAACGTAAATTGGTGTTAACATGGTGCGAAGCGTGTGCAGTCCCTCTGTGCCATATCGACTGTTTCGCACAGTATCACAGTCTCCAGGACTACTAAATGTGTAATTCTTTTGTAAATAAATGTACATATCAAGTTAATTTTAGTGTTTATATTGAATATTTCCTGTAAATTATACCATTTTGGTGGGCATACTTGTGACACTAATATGTGAGCGCCTAGTGAGTTTATACCAGTTTTATTACAATACAACGTCTAGTGGTAATAATTGGAACAAAACTAGCAAAAAAATTTTTTGTAAAATGACCCAAGAATACTGTAAATAATTCTGCGAAAATAAATTTGCGGCAACTTGGGCCTCCTGAGCGGCCGTGAGTGACGGCTGCCTGATGCAGCACCCTTAAGCGCTCACGCTCTGTGACGTCATCGGCCAACTTGTCGACTCAATAGTGTCATTGGTATGTACAATAGAATTTTTGTATTATTTTTTCCGTGCTCAGAAGACACAAGTTAACATGTTTTGAAGACGAAAAAAAATTTAGAATTTTTTTTTCTTGCGCAAAGGGGTGTAAATGTCCTCAGGACCCCTGAGCAGTGGAAGGGTTAAAACTATGTTAGCCGTTTTTCACACATCAGCTACAACTGTGGGGAACCCCTATGGCTCCCTGGAGCTTCATACCCAAAGAGAAGGAAAAGAAATGGCTGACCCAGGAGGCGGCCACCACAAACTCCACAATGCGAAGCCGAGACAACAGGCTGCAATCCCCAGAACACGGTACGCAGGTAATGGCAAAAAAGCGCAACACAGGACAACACAGGATGCACCCCCGGCCGAACCAATCAAGCATCAGACACGGTAACCGCAAGGACCCAGGATGCACCCCCGGCCGAACCAATCAAGCATCAGAAAGCAGCCGTCTCGACTGTCGCCAGAAGGACAGAGAAAGGCTGCAAACATACAAACCTACCACCAGTACCAAAGAGCAGAAACCTGAACCGAAGGGACTACCACACACTGAGGAGAAGATAAGAGGGCACCCTGATCAAGGACCAGGATGGCTCAGGCGACGCATGAGCAGGCCGGAGGTGAAACAAAACACGAGAAAGTGTACGGAATGGGGCAGATGTGACATCCACCCCGAATGCAAGCCGGAGCGGCTTCGCCAGCGCCACACAAAATGAGGCGACAGTAAGAAACATCAAATAACTGAAGTCCTGAAAACCTGAGAAAGGACAAGACAACCCGATATGAAAGAGAAGACAAGCTACGAAGAGCAAGAAAAAGGAGCATAGAAACACCAGGTACATCATATTGTCGCCGAGACGAAGCTCGCAGGTGGAACACCATCAACAAAGCCACCTAATCACCACAGAGATGGTGATACCCACGTCAAAATACCAGACACAAAGGGCAGAGGAGAAGGCCAAACCAGTCACGTACAGGACCTGTCCGACCTGCCGAAAGAGGCGGAGCCGCGGGAAAACGCCCCGGGTTCGGACACCCATCATGCATCGTTTGAAAATAAAGCTGGGCCGACCACCAAAGGATTATGAGGACAACTCTCCTTGGGAATGGACTCCAACCGAGCCAGAACCAGAAGCAACAGCTGGACCGGGAGAAGAGCAACAGGTACCCCACCTCGACCAGTCCTGCCGAAAGGCATCCACCGTGAATGCCTCGCAGGCGGATAAGGGCGCCACATAGAATATGCGACGCCTAGACCATGCCAACTCGAAGACGTCCATGGCCAGGACTCCATACGTCTGGCAGAGTCAACGAAATGAGTCGGCGACAACTGGCCAATCCGCGAACAGAGGAATGAACCGAGACAGGCTGCCCGCCAGGACGTAGGACACACCTCGGACATGAACCTCACGGTTAACCAAACCCCGAGAATCCAGCAAACAAGCCACTCGAAGGGACCAACCCCAAAGGTCAAACACCTAAGAGAAAC